CTGAACTGGGAAAATCTGCTATAAGAAATCTCTCCAGAGTACTGAAGTGTAACAATATCATCCTAGAGACCAAGGTGCACCTTATCTAAGCAATGGTCTTTGCAATAATTTGTTATGCATCAGAAAGCTAAATGGTGATCAAGGATGATAGAAGAATTGATGCCTTTGAGTTGAAGAGTACTGAACATTTCATGGGCTGCTAAGAAAATAAACAGGTCTGTCCTAGAAAGGGTGAAACCAAGCTGCTCTTTAGAGGCATGGATTTTCAAGCTCCCTCTCTCATACTCTGGGCACGTCCATGGGAGGGACCAGTCCTTGGAGAAGGACATCATGTTTGGAAGGGTGGAGGGACAGCACAAGAGAGGAAGGAAGAGCCAGGCTGAGATAGATTGACTCAGTAACCAGGGTAATGCGCATAGGTGTGTTGGAGACAACGAAACTGGCTGTAGCTAGAGCAGAGTTCAGGGCTGTTGTACTCTGCAAAACACTTAACAAGTGATTTGACAGCTCATAACAACATCAACAAATATCATATTACTTTTGAAACACTTAAGCTTTATTCAAAGTTTCCTTCCATACCCTGTCCCCTCCACTATTTGCCTCCAGAGCATGAGAAAACAAACAAAAAAAACCCAAAAAAGTTACATTTAGGTTTTCAACTGTGTGAGGAGTTAGTACTCATTGTTCAAGGTCAGCTATATACACATTTTAAATCATGGCACAAAATTGCAGTGTATTGGAAAGGTAATTAACAGTATAGGCCCTAGATGTTTCTTCAAAAAGCTTAACATAGGAATACCATATGACTCAGCTATTCCACTGCTTGGAATGCACCCTGAGAAAATTAGAACTGAGGTACAAACAGAATTTGTACACCAATGTTCATAGCAGCGTTATTCACCATTACAAGAACATGTAAATAGTCCAAAAGTCCAATCACAATAGAATGGATTGAGAAATTATGGTACATTCACATAGTACGCAACATGCAGGAGCAATGATTTTGAAAATCACTACCTAACTTGGGAGGGACTAGTATGTCGAGAGGTCAAAACAAAGGGAAGAAATGATGAAGTGAAAAAGATGAACAGAAGATGCCAAAAGGCACCTCGAGGAAACAAAGTATTTTAACAAAATGTGCAGACTTAGAATTAGAAAATTAAAAGGGAAAACTAGGTTGGCATTTTTCTAGCTCAAAGAACTAAAAAACAAATTTGAGCCTTGAGCTGCAATACTGAAAGATGCTGTAGGAAAAAATCTTGAATGATCCAGGAAGTATCAAAAGAAGGTTGTTGTTGTTGAGGCCACCAAGTCGAGAACAACTCATAGCAACTCTATGAACAAAAGACCTAATGCCTTTCCATAACTATCATCGTTTCTCCAAGTTCACAGAGTTTCCAGAGGCATGTAGTTTAGGAAGTAGATGCCACTCCTGCTTCCAAACCTGTTTTACAACTGGGAGCTCCACAAAACACTGTCCACAGTGGGAAACAATTCTGGTATTTGATACCCCAATGATAAGAGGTTAATGACAAAGAGAGATGTACAAAGTGTTCTTCCAGATATAACAGCACTAGTTTCATTTAGCAGTAGTTAGGTGTCGTCAAGTTGAGGATGACTGAGAGTTAAGTTTTGCACAAAAGACCTGAACTCTGTTCTAAAACTAACATCATTTCTGTACAGAACTCTGTTCTACAACTACCATAATTTCTGTACATTTATAGAGTTTGTAGAGTTTCCAGAAGTGGATGCCACTCCTACTTCCCAGCAAAAATCAATCTGGAAGCTCATCCAAACACTGGACGTAATATACATAATTAAATTAATTCAAAAGAAGTTGGAAAAAATACAGTCACTGTACCAAAAAGAACTGGCTGACACGGAATTTTCTCAATTTCCTAATTTTTTACTTTAGTGGTTGGCAATCAAGATACATGCATTAATAATAACTGGTGGCTGGAATGAAAAAATTTGGAAACAAAGAAGAGAAATAATTATTTGGAAAATAAGGCCTTGGTGACAGAAATGAGGCTAGAGATTGCATGCTTAGATTTTCTACAGAGATTTATTCATTGCAAATACTTCTTTTAAGAACAAAACAAAACCATAAATGGCAACTACACACATGGACCTTACCTGACAGACTACACAGGAATCAGAATGACTACCTCTGTGGAAAGGGAAATTAAAGAAGCTCACTATCAGCAGTCAAAACAAGGCCAGGGAGTTGACTGTGGAACAAAACATTAACTACTCACATGCAAGTTCAAATTAAAGGCGAAGAATATTAAACTATTCAATGAAAACAAAAAGACAACTTTGAGTCTATCTAAACTGAATTAAAAATCATTTCAAGAAAAATTTGATGCGTTCAACAATAACAACCAAAGAACAGACACATTTTGAAATGACATCAAGAACATCATCCATGAAGAAAGCAAAAGATGTGTAACCACTGTGGAAGATGGTAGGGCAGTTTCTCAAAAAGTTGCAAACAGAGATACCATTTGACCCAGCAATTCACTACTAGGAATATACCCCAAAGAGACCATAACTGCCACCCAAGAAGATATATGCACACCCATGTTTATTGCAGCTTTGTTCATAATAGCAAGGAGTTGGAAATAACCTAAGTGCCCATCAACAGACTAATGGATAGAGAAGCTGTGGTATATTCATACAATGAAATACTATGCTGCATTGAAAAACAAAGAACTAATGAAATATTATTCAAAATGGGTGCCTTGGAGGACATTATGTTGAGTGAAATATCTCAGTCACAAATACTCAAATATCTCAGTCACAAAAAGGACAAATACTGCATGGTGCCACTGTTGTAAAACAGAACTGACATCGGGGTTGGAGGGAGACTGAGAAAGATGGGTTCAATAATGTATACTACATTGAAACAGATGAGGGAAAAAACTATTTAAAGGGATATGTGATTAGGTATTTTTGTCATGACAGGAGTCCAGAGTGAAGGCTGCATAGTGGAGTGGACCTGTGGGAGGGTTTGTAAAACCATGAAAGATTTTTCCTTTTACTTTTCCAAGAGGGTAGTGTACTAGGGGGGAGGGTTGGGAAGGGAGAAAAGTGCAACAATGAATGAATGGAAATCCAAAGTCTGTAAATTTTCATTGCCATTAAGAATTAATTAAATAAATAATAAAGTATATAAAAAATTTTAAAAAAAAGAAAGCAAAAGACAAGAAAGAGAGAAAAGATGAAAATGGACGTCAGAATGTACAAGTTGCACGGGAATGAGAAGCAGCCAAAACAAGGAGACAGAATGCAGAAGTAAGAGAATCTAACAAGACCTCAAAGAGTTGCTCCAAAAAGACAACTATTATAATGAAATGTGCAAGGAGGTGGAGTCAGAAAACTTTTGCAAAAAGGGAGAATTTCTCCAAATTCTCAAGCACAGAATTTCTCAAGCTGAAAGAACTGAAGAACAAAGTCAAATCTCGAGTTGTGATACTAAAGGATTCTATGGATAAAATCCTGGATGATGCAAGAAGCATAAAAAGATGAAAGGAATAGTGTCAAAAAAGAACTGGTCAACATCAAACCAGTTCAGGACATAGTATATCATATGATTAAGAACCATCGGGAGCTGAGTAATTGCCAAAATATCCCCAGAGCATAAGTTTTACTTGGCAAGAAAAAGAACAAATAAACTTTGCCAACATAACCAGTGGCCTACCAGTTAGAAATTACAATGCAATCCCAAAGGCAAGTGGTTCGAATCCACCAGCTGCACCGTGCGAGGGATGACTTAAAAACCATTAGTATTGATGAAAAAAGTCCAAGCTGCTGTGAAGTCAATAACAAAAAATAAGGCTATAATTGACTCAACAGCACTACGAAGCCTTTTAAAATTTTCTTGGGTGGTGCATATGATTAATACACATGGCTGCTAACCAAAAGGTTGGGTGTTTGAGTCTACTCAGAGGTACTTTAGAAATCTGAGGATGTTATTTTGAATCATTAACTACCGAAAATTCTGAAGTATACAGAGTTCTACTCTGTCAGATCTAGGCACCAAGAGTCAATTTTTTTAAATACTCAAGTATCATTGATAAGGCAGAATATACCTTGTTTAGAGTTCAATTCTATGAATCTGACAAGCACATAGCTTTACCACCATCACCACAATCAAGATGGAAAACACTTCCAATACCCCATTTTTAGTCAACTCCTTCCCCCATTTCTAGTCCCTGGTAACTACTTATCTCTTTCTGTTCCCACAGCTTAGTTTTTCCTAAAATGCCCGGGAATGGAATCATACAAAATGCAGTATTTTGACTCTCCCGTCTTTTGCTTAGTACGAATGGAATTCGCTCCAATGCCGCCAGGACTAGTTTGTTCCTTTTTTACTGTGAACAGTATTTTATTTTTGTACAGATGAATCCCTGTTTATCAATTCGGCAAATACAATGAGATTTTTGTGACAATGAAGAAAACTCCCATAATTCCCCCCTCCCCCATCCTAAAAGTAAGAAGGGCTACTTCGACTTTTCCCAAAGCCTTTAGGAAGCAGGAAGGAGATAGGGAGAGGAGCGCTTCTCAAGGCCAAATTGCGATCAAGGAAGAGCTTGATAAAGGGAAGCAGGCGTCAACAGAGAACCCGTGGACAGGTGCTGTGGGCAGTTAGCTCAGGCCTCGCTTAGAGGCGGGTCCAGCTCCCTACAAGCGCTGCGCCACGGAACTGAGTAATTACCATAATATTCCTAGAGCAGAAGTTTTACTTGGCAAGAAAAGGAACAAATAAACTATGCCAATGTAACACACATATGCCATGGACATAAAATTCACATGAAGTTAGTACAGCTCCAAGAATACAGTGTCACCAAACTGTACGTGTAGGAACTGCTGAGTCGGTGTATGTTTTGCTGTGCACGGTCTCACAACAAAATTCACGTAAAGCTGCAAAAGCCATCTAAGGCTCTAGCGAAATCTGCTCGCTCTTGGGCAGTCTACAGAGCCAGCCACTAGCTCACCTGTCCCAGCCTCACCTGCCACTGGTCCATCACGGTGCTGGAGGCATTTCTCGCCCTCCGGCCAGCAGCACAATCCCCCTCTCCCAGGGTTCCCCGTGCAAACCGCCCGTGCAAACCGCCAGGAGACTCCCCACTCGGTCGACTTCCCACCGCGGTTTCGAGCAAGCAGCGGGACCGCGGGGGATTCGGACAGGAAATATCTCCTTGGACAGGCCCAGGAAGCCGCTCCGAGACTCTTGAAAATGGCTCCAGTTCAATTTCACTTTCGTTTCCTCAGAAAGACGGCCCCTTTAGAAAGTTTAGCTAGGAGGAGGAGTTTATGCAAATCGAGCGCAAACTGGCTGATTTCAAGAGGATCATTACTCTATTTTCTTTCTTGCATAAAATGAGGGAACATACTTTTTTAGGAAAATGCCTAGAAAGACAGTACCACTGAGTTAACAATTTCCGTGACTCGGCTCTCTGAGGAACATGCTGGGTAAAGAAGAAAGAAACCTCAGGACTAAAGAAACAGCGTGCAGGTCTCCCCTGTGCTGGTATTAAAGAGATGCCCTAAAGGGGCTGGGGAGGGGCATGTCTTTAACAACTAAACACCACCAGTAAACTGCTTATTAACATTCCTTACATACTGTAAACAGATGTAAAAGGATACCACCAGTAAAAAAGTAAGAGGACAGTAACAGTGCTCATTTCCACAGTACACCCGCTAAAATTGCAATGACACAGAAACATTATCATGGCCCCTGTGTAAGAAAGACACTCAAATCCCCACAGCTTCCATATTTTGAAAGAAACATTCTTCCATAGTAATCAGGAATGGGGGTGGTAAGGAAGAGAAAATAATAATTATCAACTACAGAACAACTAAAACTCACTACCGTTTGACTTTGAACCAAATGGTAGCTAACACTCTAGAAAGTTTTTGGCTGTAAATCACTAGGGAAGAGATTGTCCAGGTTTCTTCTGTGTAATTTCTGGTGGATTTGAACCACCAGAAAGGCCTTTGAGTTTGCAGAATAACTTCCTAAGGACTAGACCGCCAGAATTACTACTAGTTACTGTTGTTGTTACCATCGAGTCGGAACCCTCCCATAGCTGACCCTCCAGAGATGATTTTCAGAGGCAGTTAATCACATGGGAGGAGATTGCCCATCCTTCCCCGTGGAGCAGTGGGTAAATTCAAACCATGTGCCTTCAGAATTGTTGCACAACTTCTTGCCACTAGGCCACCAGAGCTCCCTACTACCTACTAGTAAAGAGAACATATTATTATTAATGTGAGTGAAGGGAAAGTCCGAAAAGAAAGGTGCCGGGAAGTGGACAAGAGCTAAAGGCAATAAAGGCAAACACTATTCCATATACAATGCTGTCATAACAGTAATAATAATTCTAATAATCTATGACTAGATAGTCCAAAGGCACATGGCACAGTTCAACGTCACCAGCTGCTCCCAGATAGAAAGATGGCAATCTCCCTACAACCAGGAGAAGATAAAGTAGATGAATGGGATCTTCTAAGAATCAAATCCCTATGCACATCCAAAAACTCCTCCAACAGGGTAAAAAGGGAAGCCACAGACAGGGGAAAAGTATTTGGAAATAACATATCAGATAAGGGACTTCTATCCAGAATTTATAAAATACTTGAGCACCACAATAAGATAAAGGTAAATAATCCAATAGAAAAATGGGCACAGGATATGAACAGGCACTTCACTGAAGAAGACATTCAGATGACTAACAAGCACATGAAGAAATGTTCAAAATCCATAGCTCTAAGAGAGATGCAAATTAGAAAGATGGGCAATCTCCTCCATTGGGATTTACTGCCTATGAAAACCCATCGGAAGGTCAGTTATAAGTACCTTTCAAATACACAGCACCAAACAACAATGTGTGTATATAGACAGACACCCAGGGAGAATGGGACTACACTCAGGAATATTTATAGCTAAGGCTGTATACAATGTTCTACATTCTACTCTGGTGAGTAGCAAATGAGGCTTAAAGAGTTTGTAAATAGCCAAAGTGCAACTATTGGTCAACTGGTCTCTCACCATCAGGAGTGAGGTGAAGAAAATCAAAGATGCAGGGAAACAATTATTTCCAAGAGTACGGGAACCTCAGCCTCAACAACCCTGAAACCAGAACAAGAAGTTGACTGGTTACCAACTGCTTTGACTGAGACAGAAAATCTTGGATAGAGTCAGATGTAGGACTTACATCAGAAAACTATTCCCAGCTTCCCAGCCACCACCACCATTCATTGATGTAAGCACAAATGAAGAAGTTAATATACATTACTTAATTTCATCTTCACCATGCTTCTACAAGGAAGACATTATTCTTATAGATGTGGAAATGAAGGCTTGGCTACACTGCTGTACATCCAGGTCTAACTGGGGAAAGGCCTCTCTTCATCATCACTACTCTATATTTGTCCTGGTCACAGTATTACGTTAAAAAGAAAATTCTTCCATATTCCACGTTAAATGGTCCATTTTTGTTATCTAGAAGGAAAAATGGAATTTATTTTGTGATTAGTTTTAATACACCTGTTTGTTCAGGATGGCTAAGAAATAATTCTGTATATAACTCCAATGTTCAATAGGCTTCCCTGTTACCTGTGAGAAATTAATTTTTCTATGTTTAATAATTTTATCCCTATAACATTTATAAGGCAATCTCTTCATATTATTGGTTCCAGTGGGAACCCTTCTTTACTATACTTTTATCCCACTCTGTTGCCAACCAACCAACCAACCAACCAACCTACCAACCAGCCAATCTCCACTGTTCTCATTCCATCCACTCAGTTACCAACCAACCAGCTAACCTCCTCTGCCTAATCAACTAATCTCCTCTGCCTTCTCATTCCATCTACCTAGTTACTAACTAATCAATCTCTACTATTCTCTCACTCCATCTAGTTTACCTACCAACCAATCAACCAACCAACTAACCAGCAAACCAACTAATCAATCTCTTCTGTTCTCTCACTCCATTTAGATTACCAACCAACCAACCAACCAACCAACCAAACAATTGCCATGAAGATGATTCTAACTCATGACCATCCTATAATTGTCCAAATAAGGCTGTGCTCCACAGAGTATTGAATGGCTGTGATCTTTTGGAGGAGATCACCACCAGGCCTTTCTCAAGTGCCTCTGGGCTGGCAAAAACATCCAACTTTTGATCAGCAGATGAGTACAACTCATGACTCCAGTCCAACCTGCTGATCACCTCCAAATTTCAAATTCCACAGTATGCTATACTCTCTCTCCCCGTGTCTTTATACATCTGAATTATTTTTTTTTTAGATTTCTATGTCAAACTTTATTGTTATCCTTATTTGATTTCTTATATGAAGATGGCTTCTTTGTTCTATTGAGTTGGCAGACACCTGAATTCTTGATCTAGAATGTGCTTCCTACATCACTTCTGGTGAACCCCTAGGAGTCTTTCAAGATTTGCTTCAAATATTACCTCCTAAGGAAGCCTTCTCCCATTCAGGTGGAGGTTGCTTGTTCCTTATTCATGTTTCTCTATCACTTATTATATATCCTTACTAGAGGACTCTCTGATGGCCTAGTTGGTAGGGTGCTGCACTGCTAACCCAGAGGGACTGTCCAAATCCACCACCTGCACTGCTGGAGAATAATGGGCACTCTCTTCCCAAGTGATTTATAGTCTCTGAGAACCACTGAAGGGCCAGCTAGGACGTGGTTCAGACTCTACAGCAATGTGTTTGTGGAATATCCACACACTCTACTGAAATAGCCTCACTCAATCCTGTAATAAAAGATCATTAAGCACTGAGTATGTGTCAGATATCTGAGAGCTGGACATTGAATAGAGATGACATAACAATTATTGATGTCTTTGAGCTATGGTGTTGGAGGAGAGCACTGAACATCCCATGACTGCCAAAAGAAAAATATATTTTGGAGAGGGTGCAGCCAGAGTGCTCTTTGGAGGCAAGGATGATAAGGCTTTGCCTCACATATTTCAGACATGTTGCTAGGAGGGGCTATTCCTTGGAGAGGGTCATGATGCTTGGAAGGGTGGAGGGTCGGTGAAGAAGAAGACCCTCAACCAGGTGGATTGACATGATGACTGCTGCCATGGGCTGTGATGTGTGTGCAGGATTGAACAGGGTTCAGATCTGTTGTTCACAGGGTCACTATGAGATGTACTTGACTCAATGTCACCTAACAACAACATGTGCCAGATACTAGGTTAAGTACAGAGATAATCAGAGAATAAAGGTGTAGTCCTTCAGTCAGCCTGGTGGAAAAGATGTATCTCTAAATAATCATCACAATATTAGGTATGAGTTGTTTAGATGTCTGCCTTTAGGATTGCAGTCTTCTCTTTGGGAGGGAATATGGTTTCTATAACTTCATACCCTTCTGCACAGTGACCTCCAGATTAACTGCTTGAATAACAATCAGCAGGGGCTGGGGGGGGGGGAAGAACAGAAAGTTTACAATAGGAAATGTCAAAAAACATATGAGAAGCTGCTCAATATCATTGTTATTGTTATGTGCTATCGAGTCGCTTGCGACTCATAGCGACCCTATGTACAACAGCCCTAAACTCTGCTCTGTCCTGTGCCAATCTCACTGTCTCTGACACATCCATCCTAATTACCCCAGTCATTGAATCAATCCACTTCATAGAGGGCCTTTTCCCCTTCTGCACTGTCCCTCCACCCTACGAAGCACGATGTCCCTCTCCAAGGACCTGTCCTTCCTTACAACATGTCCAAAGTATGTTAGACAGAGTCTCAGAATCCTTGCCTTCAAGGAGCTGCCCAGTTTAACCCTTTCCAGGATGAATCTGTTTGTTTTCCTAGCAGTCCATGGTATTCTCAATACTCTTCTCCCGCACCACAGCTCAAAGGCATCAATTCTCGTTCTATCCTCCTTAGTCACTGTCCAACTCAGTATCATTACATTAGCAATATTCATATTAAAGCTGCTGTAAGGTGCCACTGCCTATTACCAGAGACTGGCAACATTAACTGTGTGGCCATCCCTGTGGCAGCAAGAATGAAGAGTGGTTCCTCGTCATGCTGGAAGGATGGGAACTGCCTTGGAAACCAGTTTGCCATTATTTAGGAAAGGCGCTGCTAAACACACATGATATTCCAGGCCTTTACTCCTGGTTATATACTTCACAGGAAAGTGCTTAATACACTAAGATATGTGTACTAGAAGCTCATAGTAAATTATTCACTATCGCCCTAAACTGGAAACCATTGAAA